AAGTGGATCTTCAAGAAGAAGACAGACATGGATGGGAAAGTGCACACGTATAAGGTGTGATTGGTTGCGAAGCGCTTTACTCAAACTCCTGGAGTTGACTATGATAAGACCTTCTCACCAGTTGCGAAGATAAAGTCTATTAGGGTGATGCTAACCATAGTTGCGTTTCATGACTATGAAATATGGAAGATGGATGTCAAAAACGATTTCCTTAATGGAAAGTTGGCTGAGGATGTTTACATGAGTCAGCCAGAGGTTTTTGTCGATGCGAAGCATCCTAATAGAGTGTGCAAGCTTGAGAAATCCATTTATGGATTGAAACAAGCATCTCGCAGATGGAATCTTTGTTTCGATGAGAAAGTCAAAGAGTTTGGATTTGCGAGGAGCGAGGATGAGTCATGCGTATATGTCAAAGCTACTGGGAGCATAGTTAGCATTCTCGTGTTATATGTGGACGACATACTACTCATAGGAAACGACATCCCAACCTTACAGGAGGTTAAGTCCTGGCTTGGGAAGTGCTTCGCTATGAAGGACCTCGGAGAAGCTTCCTATATTCTGGAGATAAGGATAAGGAGAAACAGGAGTAAGAGACTAATAGGACTTAGTAAAAGTACTTACTTGGATAAATTGCTGAAACGTTTCTACATGGAGAACTCCAAGAATGGGGAGTTACCGATCCAAAGCAATACCAGACTGAGTAAGACTCAGAGCCCGAGTACAGAGACTGAGATAGCAGAGATGAGTCGAGTACCTTACGCTTCCGCAGTTGGCTCAATCATGTATGCTATGACTTGTACTCGCCCTGATGTGGCCTTCGCTTTGAGCATGGTCAGCGGATATCAAGAGAACCCTAGAAGAGCATATTAGACCGCAGTCAAGAATATTCTTAAGTACCTATGAAGGACCAAGGAATGGTTTCTTATCCTCGGTGGGAGTGATGACTTAAGAGTATGAGGGTACAGTGATGCCGGTTTTCAGACAAACCAAGATAATTACCGATCTCAGTCAGGCTGGGTCTTTACTCTTAATGGAGGGGCAGTGACTTGGAAAAGTTCCAAACAGGAATCTGTGGCTGATTCAACGTGCGTATCAGAGTACATAGCAGCGAGTGAAGCGTCAAAGGAGGCAATATGGCTAAAGAACTTCATCGGAGACCTTGGAGTTGTACCTGCCATAAAGGAGCCTATGGAGATTTTCTGCGATAACGAAGGTGCGGTTGCCTTGACCAAGGAACCAAGGGATCATGGCCGATCCAAGCATATCGACATGAAATATCACTTTATTAGACATCGCGTAGAAGAGGGACTCCTTGTAGTGAAGAGGGTATCGTCAGAGGATAACCCAGCAGATCCCCTTACGAAGGGACTGAGTAGGGTCAAACACTTGCAGCACACTAGGAGCATTGGGCTGAAGGATGATATTAGTTTTTTGTGATTAGATAGCTTTTAGAAACTTGTAATAGATAAATTGTAATTGACATTTGATGATTAAATAAATGGTGTTTTATTTATAAGTAAGTTAATGTCTTGTGTCAATTATTTACTATTGTTTCACTTTGCATGTTTTGACTTCCTGAATAATAAGATTATTCGAACCATCCACAGTCGATCATACATTGGAAGTAGGTATGAAAGAAGACTTTCATGAATTGGCTTGTAGACTGTCTAAAGTTTTTGGACATAGCAAAAGATTGCTACAATGTTCATGAGTGCTTATGAAATAAGATTTGAGTTTTGGATTAAACACACGCTTACCTGAATCACTTCATGGAATTTAATCACGAGTGATTGTAAGACGATAATATCATATAGTTTTTAAACCTAGATATATTAGTTGTTGTTTGCGAGTTGGTTGTGCATTGATAATGAGTAAATGCATCAGTAACTTGATGTTATAAAACCTATTGTTGTGTACGATTTGATGAACAAATAGTACAAGCATATGAGTCGAAGTTTATCTGTTCCTTTTATCCCACAAGGATATAAGCGATATCTTGGGCCCCTCGATGATTTGGTTTGACTTATGTGCGGGCCCGGTCAGGACTAAGTTGATGTGTTCAATTAAGTTCTATGTCGAACAAATCAGATATCGAGAAACAAACTGCTGGACAATAAGTATGACTATGTTCCATGTGATTGTCCACACGATATCTTGAGAACGGAGGACTATACGATCCCTTATCTATAGGACGTGTAATTCGACTGGGTCAGAGTTGACAGAGGCTTTTTGAGAGCTACGATTGCTGATCGGATTCTAAAGTCATACTTGCAATTATAGTTATTAGACTTATCCAAGTGGGAGACTGTTGGATTAGGTGTCTAAGCCCATAACTATATTTGGTATGTACTTGACCCGATTATGAGCATGATCCTTTTGGGTTGCCTTCACCAGAGCAACTTGACTGGATGATTAGTGGAGAGAGAGAGAGAGAGAGAGAGAGATTAAGAATTAATTTTGTTAATTAATATTGGTCAAGAATTAATTAAGAATTAATTTTGTGATCAAAAGATATTGATTGAACTTAGGGGACTGGAATTGCAATTATAAGATAATTGGATTTTGGGTTATGGATCATATGGATCAAGGGGTAGACAAAATTAGGGTGGAAGCCCACCTTGAATTCGTCCAAAGCCTTATTCCAGAAGGTTCCATTGGACTGCTTAAGGCCTAAGCTATCCAATTAGGGTTTTGACTGGAACCCTAGCAGCACACCTATAAAAGGAACCCTAAGGCATCCAAAATCGGCTACCCTTGATCCCTAGAGTTCTTAGAGCCTATTTTGTGCCTCCATCTCCTCTCTTCAAGATCATTCTTCTTGCTTTGGTGTTTGTAATCCATAAGAGGTATTACATTTGTGATACTAACCTCTTGAAGATTGAAGATTCTTGCTACTCTTGAAAGGTAATCATCTAAACTTGTTTAGATAGTATTTTCGATTTCCATATGCTAGAATTAGGGTTTATAAGCTTTGGATAATTTGCATGTACAATTAGAAAAACCTATATCCAAAGTTTTAGGGTTTTGCATGTGCACCATAGGATTGATGTTTTGCTTAAAACCCATCAATTTCCATGATGGGGTTGGGTTTGATGGTGGCTATAAAAGAGCGACAGTCGGTGTAATTCCTCCACCGTATTCAGGCGGTGAAAGTGGTGGTGAAGAATCTGAAGTTGGTGGTGAAGTTGGGGCCATAGGAGCCTTTGGGAGGGGGTGACGGCCAGACGGGTAGCCCGTCGAAAATACCTGATACCCGAATTACCCGCCCGATTTTTCCGGGTATCGGGTTAATTTTTTCGGGTATTCGGGTAACCCGATTTTTTTTCAGGTCGGGTATAGGGTACGTTTGTAGGGTTTCGGGTATACCCGAATTATTTTAAAAATTCCTATTTTTTCGTAGAGCTTATACTCTGTAGATCACGCTTAAACTAACTATCATTATTGTAAAACATAAATCTATTTTATTATGGCAGTACGACACCAACAATATTAAAAGCAATTGTTTATATGTCACCATGTTCTTAAAAACTTAACTGTTTTCTAGATTATAGTTTTTATTGCAACTAACAAACTCATTATCTTGACGAAACTTCATAACATGAAAAAACTTATGGCTACAATTATTTTAAACTTTTAAACTAAGATCTTTAAGTATTTGTTTTGTTAACATCTTATTAGATTAGATTAAGTTGTTAAAAGATTACTTGATATCTTAAGTATTATTGACTAAAAAATCTCAATGTTCAAAGTTTGAGTAACTTCGTTTATGCCTCGTTTGTTTATATAAACAAGACTAATAGAGCACAACATATTTATTTCATTAAATTTATTTTCTGGTGCCATTCAAAAAAAAATTATATATTTCGGGTAATACCCGAATTACCAAAACCCGACCCACTACCCGAATTTAATTGTGTCGAGTAACGGGTATTTTTTTAACATGAAAAACCCGAATTACCCGAAACCAGAAAAAATTACCCGATCAACACCCCTACAGACGAGTATAGGGTAATAGGTTAGGGTTTAATAAAATAAAAGGATAAAAAGAAATAGAGAAAACTTCATAAATGGTCTTTCGAAATCTAAAGTTTAGTCCATAAGTTTAAAAAAACCTCACAGATGGTCCCTGTGGTTTCAATGGTCCTTATTGCTCACTATGTCATTCCGTTAAATGAAGGGCATTTTCGTCATTTCACTACCACATGGACCATTTATGAAGTTTTGCCTTATTTAATATATATATATATATATAATTATTTAATATAAAAGGGTCCCACCCACCCCCTCTCTCTCTAGACAAACACATACCCACACACACGTGATCCCCACCCTCATTCTTCCCAAGCCCAACTATTCACCTTCAACTCTTTTTGCTTCACCCCACACCTCCGTCTTCTTCTCTGATTTACCTTAGCCTCATCGCCGGACAGTCTAACAATTATTTGTCTTGTTAAAATTAGAACACATACTCATTTTACACATATATACACATAATGTAATTAAAAAACAATTACACACTAAATGCTATGTTTGAAACCTGCCACTTTCGCTGAAACAAAAAATCAAAGCTTGAAACACCCCTTTGCGATTCCATAGAAAATAATCAAACACATACACAAACTCATTCCTACACATACAAACACATACACAAATTCATCCCTATAGAAAAAATAAACAATAATGGTCGAAGAGCGTCGAATTGGAAAAATTCTCTGAGGAAGGTAGAGAATCCTTGGCAAATTTGCTGGGATTCACTCTAATGTTACAGGATATCTTGTGAAGACGATGCTTTTCATTCTTCCAAACCCACCCTTCTCATTGATAGTCGCCATTAGTTCTTTTCGAATAACTGATACTGCTTTCTTCGATCCGTAAAATTGTGTTCCTAAGAAGTCTATTAGCAACTCGATGATCCCTTTTAAGAACACGTTGAACAGAGAACCGAGTTTTGCAATATGATTTGGGTCCTCCACCAAACTTCGATCCAAGAACAAAATCCGATGGGTAACATGAAGGTGGGTGATGCAGGTTTTCGGCGGCGATGATTTAAACCTAGATGTAATCTTCGACCAAAATCCAATAACGACTTTAGATTCAGAGGAAGGTTTCCGACGGGGCAACTTTAAACTCAGATAGGTTTAAGGGATATCCGATTACCCACAAATTGTTACTCATCGATAGAAGCTTTGAGATGCCATAACAAGTGGTGAATTTTTGGGGAAGAAACATCGATTAAAAACTGAAAGAGGGAACCGTCCAAATTTTTGGGGTTGTTTGATCGAAGTGTATTTGTATCTCTCCTTCTTGATCTGAGTTTTCGGTACCAATTCTGCTGTTAAAATGAAGGAGAAGCTGGTGATTTGTTGAAGGGAAAGAATATGAAAACAAAGAAGTAAGGGGGTATATGTGTTCTTGTGTACGTATGTATGTGTTCTTATGTACATATGTATATGTTTGAGAGAGAGAGAGAGAGATAGAGAGAGAGAGAGAGAGAGAGAGAGAGAAAGAAAGTGGGACCCTTTTATATTAAATAGTTATATTATATTTTTCTTTTTTTTAATAAGGCAAAACTTCATAAATGGTCTCTATGGTAGTGAAATAACGAAAATATCCTTCAATTAACGGAAAAAAAGATGACAGAGTGAGCAATAAGGACCAAATATCAAAAGTTTTGAAACCGCAAGGACCATCTGTCAGGTTTTTAAACTTAAGGGCTAAACTTCAGATTTCAGAATACTACAGTGACCATTTATGAAGTTTTCTCAAAGAAATATAAGATATAATGAAATTATGTATATAGTTAGATACGGTAAATTCGACATTTCATGTGTATTTAACCATTATTTTTAAGAGAGTTAGTCAAAATGAGTAACTGCGCTTTATTTTGAAACCACAAAGACCACGGGTAACTTGCTATTTTTTGCAAACAACAGGGACCGTTTCTGAAAATTTGTCTTTGTTTTCTTATAAATAGCATGTTTTTTTATTTATTGATTCAATTTTATTTAGTTTTATATTTATTTATACTTACCAAAGAGACCTTTACGAGAAAAAAAAAATACTCTCTTATCCACATACACAACCCAATCGTTTCATTTATTATTATTATTATTTTTTTGCTTCATTAGAAACCCAAAACCAACCCAATATTCTATCAAAAGTTATTTCTAGTTTTTAACCAACTTTCTTAACATTATAAAAATTGTAAACAATTTATTTTATTTCTAAAACAACTAAGGTTTTATTACTTTTATTAGTTTTTTATTTTAAGATTAAAAAATTATATATATATATATATATATATATATATATATATATATAAACCATATGAGATCACGAATGAACATAGTCTAATAAACAAGTTGCCAAAGTAGGTTGCTATTTGTTGCATTTACTAACTCTATCAAATATGAATGATGAATGAAGCCTTGGTCAGATGGGAGTGCATTGTGCTGAAGCTCTTGGGATGCCAATTGTGGGGGACTACAAATACGGTTGGCTTGTCCACAACAAATGGAAGCAAATGCCAAGGCCCGATTATGAGCCCAACTGAACTGGTCAACCCTACAAGATGAGAAGGCCCGATGGGTTGGATGTTTAGAAAGGAAGCGTATTGTCTAAAGTACCCTTGCTACATTTGCATTGTAGGGAGCTTGTTATTCCTAATGTTGCTAAGCGTCTTGAGGGCCGAAATGTAAATTCCGTGAACAAGTTAAAGCCGGATGTTTTTCGATTTGTGGCACCCATGCCTTCTCATATGAAGATTAGTTGGAATTTAATGTCGTCTCCTTTGCCTTTTGTACATGTTTTATTTATAAAAACTATAATATTATGTTAATAGTTAAAACTTTTAAATTAGGCGATACAGGAGGTTGTATGTGTTATTAAATAATTGTTTAAGATGTGTTTTCACTTTTCATTCCCTGGAAATACTCAAAGTATACTATCATTATTAATATCATATAACACACATATTTCTAAATATATAATTTGGTCATTCAATTTGATTTTTATCTCAGTTCAATCCTGAACTTGCTTGATTCACAGTGGGTGTTGCTAAAGTCCAAATCAGTGTTGAAATTCTTCACTTACATCTACCGTTTTAATATATTAAAACAAAATTTTACGTTGAAATTTTATATAATAGAATGATACACAAACTATAACAATAGGTATAGTAGGTTGATTTTCTTTTAATTAATATGAGAACAACTTTAATAATAATATTTTTTTTGGCTATTTTAGGACACTTTTCAATTTTTATAAGAAAATATAGACATGATTGGTTTGTGGTCAAATATTGGTATAATACAAACATTTCACAATTGTATGAGTTAAATTTAATGTCTCATAAGATTTAAGTTGTCAAATATAACAAACATAAATCTTAGATTTAAGTTGTTAAACTTGTCCTGAAGGGCTTAATCGTAATTACACTAAGAAGAGGGTAGTTTTTGTAATTAAAATTAAAATAGAGCCGTGGACTTCTTTGTAGACTTCCAGAAATGTTCTAAAAGCTATGTACCTGTTTGAGTACGTGATTTTCAATTTTCATTCTAAGGTCAATCCCTCGTTTTCTTCCTTCATTCCTTTCCTGCGATGGATGAAGGATACCGATTTTACCCTTCATAATTTCGTTTAGAAACCATCCAAGTCGCAACCTATCTGCCAGACCACTGCAGTCGATCCTAACAAGTAACAAGTGAACAAGAACAGCAGCAACATTATCGATTTCTCCAAATCGCAATCAAATCAGCATCCAAATCGAAACGAAAGTAGCTTCTAAGAATAGATTGATTCTTGATTTCTATAAAGCATCTTCCAATCGATTTCAGAAAAATACAATACCTTGATCGTCTTTGAACTGTTCTTCATCATCTCCAGGGTATGCTTTTCTATGAACTTTATTCTTTTCCCCACTTAAATGGTACTTGAATTGACTTTTTCTAGTGCTATTTGTTCATCAATCTCTGGATTTCAATGGATGTTAGTATGTTACTTGAATTGATTTCCCCCCACTTATAACTCCCTCCCTGTACGTATTTTGAACTTTGGTGTGCTAGCCCATTTCCAAGGTCACACACACCAGGAAATTGAAACCTGGTTCTTCATATGTTCTTTCAAAAAGTCCGTGAATCGTTTTGTTCCACTATATATTTTTTGGTTGACAAGAGATCTGTTGTATGTGGATTCAGGTGGTGTTTGAAATTCAATGGTGGAGTTCATCTCAATTGTTCTCATTGCAGTTATTACTACCACATTGCTACTTGTCCGAATTCTTTATGTTATATCTCAGAGTAGTAAACCAATCCGTAACACTTGTTCAAAGCATTTGAGTACTCTTGTTGTTTTGGGTTCAGGTATGTATGTTTCCTTTCTTATTCCTACATAAAAAAGAAACATTCTGTTTGACCACTTTTTAAGCTTAAAATTGGGGTTATTTCTAAAATACCCTATATTCTGACTTTTTTTTCTTTTTAAACCTAAATTTTTTTTTCTTTTCCGAAAAAGACTCAGCTTTTATGTGTTACTTGTTATTTCAGACCTAGAAGGTCACCAATAGGTAAATTAGGTATTTTTGTTTCATTAAAGACCCTATATTTTGTAGCTGTTTCCATGTTTTTTTTTCAAAATAAACTCAACTTTAAAATTGGTTATAATCTTCAAGACCAAATATATAAGCTACTTCTTAGACTACACCGAAAAAGAAAGTATACATGTATACACTAAAAAATGTTATCTAATCTATTATCTTTTGAGCGAATATAAGCTAAAAAAATTGCAAAATTTTATTTTTGTCTAAAAGATATAATTAAACTTTATCTTGGATATATATTATATCATTAAACTTGATATATTGTTTATAGAAACGTTATTATTACCGCTAATAAAAAGTTTGATGTTAATTTGATATTTTTTGGTAACATGGATAATACATTGCTAAGAAGAATCTTTTAGCATAATAACAAATTTTTTTATTTGTAGAAAAAAAATACCATATAATTTTGAAATATATTACCTGTATATATTTATTGTATTTATCCATGTAAATATGGTATTTATCTGTTTCCTAGCCTATAGGGATTACATGTATTTGTATTATATATACCCTTTACCGTTAATAAGAAGGCAGAGGATTTTTACCATTCTTCTCCCAATTCCACAAGTACATTCAAACTCAATTTGCAAAACACATCAAAACCATTCAATGCGATAATGGTCGTGAGTTTAACAACTCTTCTTTTCACCAATTTTGCAACACCCATGGAATGTAATTCCGGTTTACTTGTCCTTATACCTCACCTCAAAACGGCAAAGCCGAACGAATCATTCGCACTATTAACAATATGATTCGCATCAATCTCATTCAAGCATCCGTTCCTCCTTCTTATTGGAACTATGCTCTTGCTCTTGTCATCTACCTTCTCAACATCCTACCCACTACTACAATCAACAATAAAACCCCCACATAAATTCTATATTATCGAAAACCCACTTATACACACTTACGTACCTTCGGGTGTCACTGTTATTGATTCTTAAGGATAATCATAATAATTACCAAAATAAAATTTAGGATTTCATTTTAATTTGAAAGGATACAATCACGTTTTTATGCATGAACGAAGTTAAGCTTCATTAATTCGGTGTAGTTAAGTACCTTATACAACTAGTGTTAAAGGTTGTAACCAATTTTAAAGTAAAAAAAAAACATTTTAGGTCTAAAATGGAAAAAAGTACAAAATATAGGGTTTTTTATGAAATGAAAATACTTAATTTCCCTTTTGGTAACCTGCTAGGGTCTAAAATAACAAGTAGTAGGTAAAAATTGGCTCTTTTTTCGAAAAAGAAAAAAGTTTTAGGTCTAAAAAAAAAAAAATCAAAATATAGGGTCTTTTATGGAAATAACCCTTAAAATTGTTTATAGTTCTGGGTTTTGTTTAGGGGGACACACAACAGAAATGATAAATTTATTATCTGTTATGCAAAATGATCCATTTGCTCCAAGATTTTACATTGCTGCAGCAACAGATAACATGAGTCTTCAAAAGGCATGTGTTTTTTAGAACAGTTTGGCTGATAAGGTATATATCATACTGTTATGTCATGTCATGTCAAATTGTCAATGTAAATGTTATGTCATGTCATGTGCATGTGCAGACAAGTTATCAAGGGGCAGATTCGTCCAAATTTTTAAAAATATATCGAAGCCGTGAAGTGGGACAGTCATATATTACCTCAATCGGGACAACATTATTTGCTTTATGTCATGCTTTCTGGCTCATGCTCAAAATCAGACCTCAACTGGTACTGCTATTTTATTTTTAATTTAATTTAATATTATTTTTCATCCTTTTCTTGCAATTAACCCTTCTGTATCCTCTTCTCAAATTCTATGCAATGGTCCGGGTACTTGTATTCCCATATGTGCTATCGCGTTTATTTTCAAGGTTTGTATTAACTTTTAAAATATACCATGAAAATTTAGGTCTTCCATTTGTACTTTTCGTAGTTGACAAATAGTCAAACAATTTCTTTAAACTGTATACCAAAAGTCAAACGTTTGACTTTCATTTGTTAACATTTTCAGGTTTTGGGAATTAGATGGCCGTATATTTTCTATGTGGAAAGTATTGCAAGAGTGAAAAGACTATCACTCAGTGGTTTGCTTCTTTACAAATTACACATGGCTGATCAGTTTGTTTGTGCAATGGCCACAATTACAAAAACAATATCCACGAGCTCATTATGTGGGGCGTCTTATGTAACCATTTTGTTTTTGTATAAACAACTTAATTCAAAAAGACATTTTAAGTGTAGGTATGATTTTTTTTTATTTATCTATTTAATAGTGTTTGAAATAGAGATATGTATCACTATAGACATGTGTTATTATGATTTTTTGTTTATATGTGATAGACCTGGCAAACGTGTCGTGTCGTGTCGGGTTCGTGTCGTGTCACGACATTAAACGGGTTGAAAGGGCTTGACCCTAACCCGACCCGTTTAATTATCATGTCGTGCCGCGTCAACCCATTTATTTTCGTGTCGGTTTCGTGTCGTGTTTCGGGTTAAGGTTTAGACCTTGTAAATATGTTGTGTCATGTCAGGTTGAAATATTTTAAAGGTTAGAAAGTAGGAGTTGTAGAGGCAAAAAGGATAAAGTGAAACACTTGAGTTATGAGATGAAATGACAAAATTTATAGTAAGTTTAGAAGGGAAAATGAAAAGAGTTAAAGTTGGGGAGCAAAGGGATAGGTGGTGAGGATGACTAAAATTAAGTAACTTTGAAATTTTGAATATTACTTCTAATTCTTGAGTTTGGCCCACTATAAGTCTATAACATATAATATATTTATAAAAATATGAAATTTATAGTATATAATTAAACGAGTCATATTCGAGTCATCTTCGAGTTGAAAGTCTTGACCCTAACCCTACACGTTTAATTATCGTGTCGTGTCGTGTCGTGTCAACCCGTTTACATAAACGTGTCGAAATCTCTGACCCTAACCCACTAATTTTGTGTCGGGTTCGTGTCTAGTTTTCGTGTCGTGTCATGTTTTGCCAGGTCTAATATGTGAACTCTGTATTTCAATTTAGACTAATACCAATACATCGAATAGCATGTTTGTTAATTGGTATTGAAAATAGTGTAATGGTTTGGAGATGAGTTATTGTTTACACCAGAAAATAATGACTACATGTTGATGCAAAAATGGTGTAATAAATTTACGAGACCAATTAATTTTGTTCTTATTAGTTTATCATTGTTTGTATATGATGTCTATTGAAACTCACCCGTTGAAAAAACTAATGACAAGAACTTGTAAATTTACTAACTATTTGAAAAAGTCAACCCAATGACTTTTTCAAATTTCAAATGCTTATTGATTTGAAAGATGGCGTGTTCGACACGGAGCATTTGGGCGCTTCTAGCTTCTAGCATTTGACAAAACACTCCATTTTGAACAGAAAGTCTTGTTCGGCACTACAAGCTTCTAGCGTTTAGTTTAAACAAAACGCTCCAAATCCAAATGCTACTTCATGTAGCGTTTAACAAAACGCTACAAGCTACCCGCTACTAGCTAATTTTGCCGAACACGCCCAGAACCTTTGAAAAAACTCCTAAAAGTTCATATTGTTGATGATGCTACATATTTGAGCCAAACATGACAAATGGGTTGTCCTTTTTTTCCCCTCATAAGTCCTATATAGATAAAACGGCTAAATGAATAATGATGTATGTTTGTATAAAACGGGTATACATAACATACGCTTATTTCTAGACTAAATAAACCATATGTATAGACTAAATAAACCATTTCATCACAATCAAAAAGAAAAATAAAAAATCATAATAGTCATTAATTTTAGTAATATTCATCCATTTTAAATTTAACATTAGGCCATGGGGTATGGTCACTAGGTATTCACTAGAAAAATGATGTCACCTATGCGCCACATCACCCCACTTACATGTTCACTACATGTTTACTAATCCTTGGAAATGGTTATCACTCCACATTGTTTTTCTTTTTTTATTTATTATTTTTTTTACATTATATTAAATAAAAAACACAATAAAACATTAATAAAAAACACATTAATAAAAATAAAAATAATATTTTTAAATTCAACATACATGCTTACTAATAAAATAAACATTGATAAACATAAAAGTGATATTTTTAAAATTCAACGTACATTTTACTAATAACATAAAAATTAATAAAAAACATTGAAAAAAAACTAATCGTCTGCATCGTTGTCCTCATCGTCCGCGTTCTCATCCACTTCGTTTTCGTCTTCAAATTGTCGTTGCCATATGTGCTCAGCCAAATCTTGACGTAGATTGTGATGTGTTTCACTATTCTGTATTTCCAAAAGCCTTGTAAAGTATGTTGGGCTGCCGACTTGTATTACTGCAAGTGGATTGAGCATATCATTCGGAGTATACGTACAAATAGCCCTACCCTCTTCTTCTAGTATCATGTTATGTAAAATAACACACGCTTTCATCACCTTCATTCATTTTTCCAATTCCCATGCTCGTGCTGGATATTTGATTATGTGCCACTTCTGTTTGAGGACCCCAAACGCCCGCTCCACATCCTTCCTTGCAGATTCCTGTGCTAATTTGAACAATTTACTTTTTCATCAGCTGGATATGTGTATGACTTGACAAATGTAGCGTACTCTGGATATATCCCATCAGCAAGGTAATATCCATGATTGTATTCACATCCATTAATAACGTATGGCATGTTTTGTGCTTTACCCTGCAAAATATCGTTAAATAATGGAGATGCTCCAAGCACATTCAGGTCGTTGTTTGACCCTGCCATACCAAAAAATACATGCCAAAACCAAAGGTCCTGTGAAACAACTACTTCTAGTATAACAGTAGGCACACCATGATCACCTCGTGTGAATTGCCCTCGCCATGCATTGGGACAATTTTCCCACACCCAATGTGTACAATCAATGCTACCTAGCATTCCTGGAAATCCATGTTTAGCCTGATGTGCGGCATACAGCTGTTCGACATCACTTCTAGTCGGATTTCGCAAGTATATGTCGCCATAAAGCTCTATAACATACTCACAAAAAAGATATGTGCATTCTCGACCGGTCCTCGCAGACATTTTCAAATATTCATCTGAAGCGTCTGCGGATATGCCGTACGCTAATTGTCTAAGAGCTGCTGTGCATCTTTGAAACGTAGTAAACCCACGTTTACCCCTAGCATCCAATCTCAATTGGAAGAACTCATAATTGTTTTTCAAATCTCTAGCTATACGTAGGAATAAATTTCTACTGATACGAAATCGATCCTCAAACTTCGATAGGTCGTATAAACTATCAAGGTTAAAGTAATCACGTACCAAAAGTTCGTTCGCCGCCTCTCGATCACGGTTGATGGACTTTCTTCGTTTCTTCTCGCCATTTGAAGTTTCGCCTCTCTGATGCACAATGTCGTATGCCGCAGACAACAACGTGCGCATAACCAACTCATCGTCGTCGGAATCTTCATCAGATGAAGAAGAAGAAGAAATGGCATCCAAAAAATTATTCATATTCTAATTGTTGAGTGTGATTTTTTTTTGTAGTTGTTGTAAATTATGTGATGTGTTATGTTTGTAGATATAGGTGAGGTTTTAGTTTTGAATTTTTTTTTTTTAATAAATTAACGGTCAAAATGGGAGAAAACGGTCAAAAAGTGAGGCATCCAATCAAATTGCGCGTAACCACCCGTGACCCATCTCAATCCGCGTCACATTCACCAGGGAGGGGAGCGGTGTTCACGCGTGAATACCCCCCTCCACGTCACCCTTTACGCGTAAAAACATCCTCCATACCCCATAGACTTAGAGGAGTTAGGATATAAATAAAGGAAGGAGAATACGCAAAAAGTTAAGCCTATATTTTTTAGGCTAAAACTTATTAAGCCAGATTATATTATATGCTCAAATTAGATGGTTGCCCCCAGGCCCCAATAACGAACCCAAGTCCTCGGCAACGTAGCCCTCTTTTTGCTCTCACTCTCTGCGCGTCGCCGCCTCCGGCCTCCGCCCTGCTACCGTCGTGGTCCGCCTCTCCTCTCTCTGCAGCTGCTGCTCCACTGTCGCTAGTTCCCCTGCCACTGTGACGGTAAAGTAATTTGATATTTAATGTTATTTTGTGAATTTTTATGAATGCGTTAATCTATTGTTAAGTTTTGCAATTGGAAAATTGAAATCTAACCGAAGGTTTGTTGAAAAATTCGAATTTTTGGAAGGTATTAACTTAACTTAATATGAGGCACATCTTTGCAGTGAGATTAAATTGCTTTAAATCTGCTAAAGTATTATTAATTATCGTACATGTAAATGGAATGCCTCAAGTCCAGATAAAAATTATCTTTCCTTCAAACACTTCTCTTTCCTGTATAACGTGCTTTTATAATCCAAATTGGGATCTTAACCATAAGTTTTCAGGAAAAAGAGACAAATTTGTAATGTTTCTATTGATCTCTTCATAATCTTGCTATTTGAAGCAAGCTAAGTGTTTGTGAATGATCATTGCCCTTATATTTTGATCAACTACTTTAAATGTTTCTTGCTATTGTATGAAAATAGTCTAACTATGAAAACTTTTTAAACCTATTGTAATTGGAAGGAATTAGTAAAAAGTTTTTGAATTGTAATTACTATTTTCAGGCAGTATGTGTAATGATGTGGCTGAAGAGCAGTTTTCATAAAGTGAGGCACTTTTCCAGAGTGTCTCCTCCACTACCTGATTGTGTTGTGAGAGTTTCCAACAACATCACTCATTTGGGTCTTCCTAAATCTCCCCACAAGCCACGTCAGCTTTTCTCATTGCCTCCATTGCCACCTCATCCTCTACCTGGAAAAAATGCTTCTCCTGATTCTCATATCACTGCCATTAGCTGGATGAAATATTACTTTGCTGATGTCACTCCCTCTGTCATCCAATCACATTTCAACAAAGGCCTTGTGAAAATGGAGTGTCATGAAACAAAAAGTTTGAAAAAGGTATACCATTTAAGATTTTAGTCTTACATAACATAATATAATATAACATGGTGATGAATTTCTTTTAGTTTTTGATTTAACAAACAGATTAAACATAATGAGGTGATGAAAATGGGTTCTACACTTCATGTGGCTGTATCTGTTGCTGAATCTAGAATCTCAAAGAGATTTGATACAATTCCAACTGCATCTTTATCTCCAAATGCAGATGAGATTCAATATTTGCAAAGACTTGTTATGTACAAGGCATGTCTTTCTTTATTTCTCTAAACCCTAAAAAAGAGAAATACATTATTATTATTTTTTTTTTCCATTCTGTATGTTTAGTTCATTGATGACATGATAATGAAACTTTAGGATTCTGCTCTACTTGTTCTGAATAAGCCACCAAAGGTGCCTTTAAAGGTTAGTTCATAATGAACTTCATTAGGTCAATTTTATTTTATCTTTTTGTAATCATATTTGTATACATAATTATGTTATAGGGGAATCTTGCTGTTCATAACAGCATGGATGCACTTGCAGCTGCAGCATTATGTTATGATTATGATGAAGGCCCTAAACTGGTAATCAATCTTATCTCATTCATAAGCATATAAGGGATTGTGGCATTTTTGTAAATATGTGAACATTGTATTGTATTTATGTAAATAGGTTCATCGTCTTGATAGAGAAAGCAGTGGGATTCTTTTAATGGGAAGAACAAAAGAGACCATATCCTATCTTCACTCTTTGTTCAGTGAAACAAAACCATCACTTAATGTATTATTAATTCTAATATATTATATCCACTTTTTTTTTTTTTTTTTTAAACTATAAAAATCCATGACAACTTTTAGGCATTGAATGATACGTATCAAAGGTATTGGGCACTGGTGATAGGTACCCCAAAGCAACAACATGGTATAATCCATGCCCCTCTCACAAAGGTTATTTTTTTTTTAATTTCTTTTTTTTACACATTTTTTGTCATGATTATGACAAAAAGAGAAGTGAGAGGTCTTTTTTGTAAATTGGTTATAGGTGGTGCTTAATGGTGGAAAAGCGGAGAGGGTAATGTTGGGATATGGTTGTAATCTAGAAACTTCCCAAGAGGCCGTAACAGAGTATCGTGTACTGGGCCCCACAATAAATGGTTGTTCGTGGCTCGAGTTGAGACCACTCACAAACCATAAGCATCAGGTATATAATTTCTTTTTGATTTAAAAAATATGAAAAATAAATATAAATAAGGGTGGTGATCAGATGCGAGTGCATTGTGCGGAAGCTCTGGGGACACCAATTGTGGGGGACTTTAAGTACGGTTGGTTTGTGCACAACAAATGGAAGCAAATGCCAAGGCCCGATTATGAGCCCATAACTGGCGAGCCTTACAAGATGAGAAGGCCCGATGGGTTGGATGTTCAGAAAGGAAGTGTATTGTCTAAAGTACCCTTGCTACATTTGCATTGTAGGGAGCTTGTTATTCCTAATGTTGCCAAGCGTCTTGAGGGTAAAAATGTAAAATCCAAGCCGGATGTTCTTCGATTTGTGGCACCCATGCCTTCTCATATGAAGATTAGTTGGAATTTAATGTCATCTTATTTGGTTTGACTTTGACTTTTGTATATTGTTAATGTTTTAAGTTATTCAGATCCTATGTTTGGTTTAATAAGACAAGGTTTATAATTCAAGAATTATTAGAAAAACATATGGATGAAGGTTTTTATAAGGGTCATCTTTTAAAAAAAACAACACATCTTAAAAAAACTCATACCCATCATTTTATTCTCAAACTTTTTTATTATTAGTATTTTTTATTCTTTTTTAGTTTAACGGTTTCAAATAATTAGACAAGAAATTATTATGTAAGTTGTTAAAATGACAATGGTAAAAGTTGGAGATGTTAAGTTGTTAAAATGATGGTGAAGTTGTTTCATATTAACAAATGTCAGAAATATTATATATAACATAAAAGCTTAAAAAGTTGGGGAACAGTATACTTCTTTCTCTTTCCTATTTTGCCAGGAAAGTTTCGCGATTCTTATTTCCGCCACATTTTTTCTTTCCTTTCCTACTTTGGCCACAGACGGATTTGTTTTAAAAGGTTATATTTTTTTATTCAGACCGCCTTCAAAATTGGGTCAGGTTTATCTTCTCCACCGCCTACCCTGCTCTCCTTTCTTCTTGGCTCTGCTGCTTCACCTCCGCTTAGACCAACGGTAGATAATTGCTTTGATGGGTTCCGATTTTGATTGTTCTTTACAAAGATGGAGGCGATGATGAAATTTGTTTGTGAAAACAATTTGCACCGGCAACCATGGGTGAACTTGAAGGCCGTATTTTGGCGAGGCAACTCGGAAGGCATATCCGATTGGAATATGCAACCGGTGTTTGCAGCCATACCGTCTTTCATTCCCTTTTTCTGAGCCTCGTCTCATTGAAAATCACTGTTATGATTTCCGATTTTGAAATTTCTGGTGTTCCTTTGTTCGTCTTTGTCAGCCTGCTCCTTTAATCACACCCGGTAACTCAAATCACTTCTCGTACTGCTGTTGCTGCTGCGATATGAATTTGTCAGTTAATTTTAATTTGAAGTTTGTGAATTAGGCTATGTTTATGTTACGATTTCACAATTCGGATTGTTTCTAATGTTCATAACGTATATTTCCGTTATATGTTCACAGTGGATGACAGGTTCTATGGCAGCAGCAAACTAAAAGAACATGTGGTTAAGGCTTGGCGAGAGCTTGAAAAGAAAAAGATACACAAAATCCTAAATCAGTATCGTCTCATTCTTGATGAAGTTGGGGTATTGTTTCTTGCTCTTTCTCCTTCATAGTTTTCTTCATCTTTATCATATTGGATGAAAGTTAAAGATATCTTGTAACTTATTCACATTCATGGAAGAAATTTTAGCAATTTGGAGTTTGGTATCTGTGTATGTGGAGGCAGTAAGGTGTGGATAGAAGCTGATAATGTTGAAATACGTATTGTGCAGACTATAGAGCAGCATGAGATTAAGTGGCTTGTCATGGGAGCTGCAGCTGAGAAGCTATATTCAAAGTATATTAATATGTGAATACTTTTCATAAAGATGAATTGATAATTATGGTATCTATAACTAGTGAAATTGCCTATTAACCTTTCATTTTTATGATCAAATGTAATGATTTGTATGCTTTCAATTTTATCTCTCTACAGGAATACATCTAAAGGCACAGTCAAGTTTGTTTGGATCATGATATGTTGGTTTTGGATTCTTGATTTCCGGTGTGTTTTCTTTTCTTTATCCCTAATTTATTAGTGGTTATTATTGCATGTTAGTGTGTGAATTCAAACTTCATATCTATAGATTGTTGATTGGAAATAAAAACCCATGTGTTGCAGTGAAACGGAATGAATATAGGATGTTAGAATTGGTACATTTTTAGATTATACTTCTATTGTTTTTTGAGATGGCATGAAATGGAAATGGAAGTAATCATACAAGCTACAAAACATGTAATAAAAATATTTGATACTCCTGACACTTCAATTTTTGATGATTGTTGCTTATCAGGTGTTCGACGAAATGTCTACAAGAAAAGGGTTCGCATATCAGCCCCTACCCTGTAAGTTGTACTTTCCCGTTGTTTCATTGTTTTGGTCTCCTCTGTCAATACACAACCAACACAACTTCTGTTGATTTTTTTTTTCTGTCAGCAGGGGAGCATGATTGATGGTAGTAAGAAAGATGTCATTCACAGGTATGCACTACACTTAGCTCTTTTCATCACTTAAGTGCTAACCAATTGTTTATACACTCGATTTTGGCACCTTAAATGGTTCTTCCCAATATTTTAAAACCGGAACCGGCACTTCCAATTCCGGTTCCGGGTATCCACTTCAAAAAAAAAAAAACGGTTCCAAAAACAAATCAATGGTTGGTTCTGGCTGTAGATACCCACTTTGTATTTAATATGATGATTTTAGCCTTGCTTAAGATTCCAATGCTTAATGTCTGGAACCACCGGTTCCGATGTGGTCCAGTTCCGAAAGATTCATGAAAAATGTAGGAGTTGGAGCAAATTGTATGTATTGATTATGCCTATTGCAAAATATATTAATGTTCTACCTGTATCATTTTGTCCCTATTATGTGCAACCATTATTAAATTATTTATTTTTCATTTCTTTTCTATTTTGTAGCTATCCTCTGGATTATGCTGCATAAACCATTAATGACATAGGACCATCTATTCGAAAAGTCGTATGGAATCAAAATGATACAGGTGGAACAAATGGAATCTACATCTCTCAATTGATTCACAGTTTTTTTTTTCTTCATTGTTGGAAAGAAATGGTTACTTTGTTTCGGTGATGAATTATAACTTCAATTTACCAACATCTTTATCTTTTATCTTCTCCATTTCTATCAGGTAATGGGTATGGAGGTTCATGCCAATGAAGGAGGAGTAACACAGACACATGGTTGTGTATATTGGTTAATCCTACCTGCTGGATGTATTACATTCCTCTTCAAATTCTTTATTAAATTCCATCTATTTGTTAATCTTTAGCAAATAAATCTTTTTTTTATAGATATTGGTTCATCTTTCTGGGGTATGCTTCTAATCTTGGCATCAACTGGCCTTCTTACTTCAAGAATCGCAGCCGGATGTTTAGGAGTTGCTCTTCTTATTGTCCTCTTTGTTGCCAAAAATGTAAGAATATTTTTATTTTTCAACAATTATTTAACTTTTTAAATTTTGTAATTTGAATATATCGAATTTGAAATCATCCATTTGCTTTGTTTTATTGAAACAATGGACGCTTCGAGGACTTTGCATTGGTCTTTATTCTTTAACTTCAAATCTTTTATAACTTTTTAATATTTATTTACCAAAAAAATTAAATAATTTTAAAAATTACATTTTTCCACAGGGTTTTATTATCTTTCTTGCTGTCATTTGGATCCTACAAGAAAAAACCACAGTCCGCATCCTTCGTTATGTCATTTTGTTCATTGGTATGATTTATAAATATGATCTTATATTACTCTTCCCATTTTGTCCTTTTTAGGAAATGACAATTTTGCCCTTTTATTCACAAGTGTCATGAACAGTTTGTTTTCGGTTTATGGTAAGTAGACATTCTTTACTCATCAAAACTGATGTAACGCCCCGATTCTCAGGAATTGTTTAAATAAGATTTATTGGGTGAAGCTCTACTCGACGAGTTGGTTGACCTACTCGTCGAGTAGCAGCGGGGTGGGATCGCGTGTTAAGTGACCTACTCGACGAGTCCATATTGGGACTCGGCGAGTAGGAGCTGGCAGATGAAACCCTAAATCCCGGGGTTTGAACCTCTATTTAAAGGAGCCTCAGCCTCCTTTGGCCTCTTTGCAGTCTTTGAGAGCTCCTTAAAACCCTAATACGTGTGTGTGTGTGCCCATTGTGTGTTGGAAGCTTGAAAAGAGGATCTTTGGAGGGAGAAGGCTTGGAGGAGAAGGAGATTGGAGCAAGTAGAGTGTGGGAATCAACACTTATCTCAGTTATCATCTTCTGGAGGTAACCAAATCGCCTTTCTCCTTGTGAATCTCTTCTATTGGTTGAGTTTTTAGGGTTTTTGGTGAGATGTTAAGTTGGAAAGATGAGCTATGGGCTAGATCTGAGGTTGTAACTTCAGATCTGGACCCTCCTTGGATTCTAGAAGCATAAAGTTACAGTGTTGGTCATGATTGAGGTCCCTCTTGAGCATGAAGCTCCATTAAGAACTTAAAATAGGCATTTAGAGCCTTTATAGCCATGCATGCACGTAAAGTTTTCAACTTTACGTGATAAGCATGCCCTAGAAGCTTGGATCTGTGATTTGGAGCCGCTGCATGGCTCAAAACAAGTCTGTATGGAAAAAGGACTGAATGGACTCGGCGAGTCGCAGGGTTGACTCGGCGAGTCACATGAAGATGGCCGTGAACTCGACGAGTTGGATGAACAACTCGGCGAGTCCGATGAAGATTACCATAAGACTCGATTAGTTGATGAACAACTCGGCGAGTCGGATGAGTTTTCCCTAGGATATGTATGCGTGTGTATCCGTCGAGTTGCAAGGAGGGAACTCGACGGGTGACCTTAAAGTTTGATCGAGAATCGAAGGAACTCGACGAGTCACCCCGATGACTCGGCGAGTTGGAATGTGCTTCAAGGAACTCGGCGAGTAGCCGAGGGTACTCGGCGAGTTGGGGTCAACATTGACTGTTGACCTTGACTGAGGACTTTGACTTTGACCAGGGGTTGACTGGTGGGTTATGGAGTACCTTATAAGGTTAAGGACTTATGAGTATATTGTACTATGATCATAGGTGGTGGAGCCTGTGTCAAGTGATACGAGAGTTGGAGTTTATCTTCCGAGTCGGCATCTGCAAGGTGAGTTTTCCTCACTATATCGATAGGGTCTACGACACCAAGGCCAGCCCTTTTAGTTGTTATTGTTATGATATGCTACATGTGGATATGATCTGTTAGATCAGAGTCAGGATAGACAATATGTTATGCTCTTATGATCCGTAGGGATTGATATGTTAGTAACCTGCTAGGTCGGTGCTCTAGTTATGAGAGATTGCTATGTTTGGTGCTCAGTGAGGTAGATATGTTTGATGTTGTATATGTCAGTATATGTTAGTTATGTGCACATGGTTATCTGCTTGTTGCTTGGGGTTGAGGCGGTCCTGCTTTGTGCTGAAGGCCAACACACTCTATGAGCGGTCCGGGAAGACTGTAGGCCCACGTGGCGGTCCAGTCATGCCGAAGGCTCAGTATAGATTCAGTTGGACTGTAGGCCCGGTAGGGCGGTCCAGTCAGGCCGATGGCCCAATATGCATGTTGATGCATTGATTAATTGATTGATTATTACGGATATGGTATTTTAGTGTGGTATTGGTATTTTGGGGGTAGCTCACTAAGCCCTTGGGCTTACAGTTTTCAGTTTGTTTCAGGTACTTCAGGAGATCGTGGCAAGGCAAAGGCGTGACCGTACCGCTCCTCATCCTTATGATCTGTTTTGGGACACTCTGATGAATAATGTTTTGAAAACAATTTGTAAACAAATACTTTTGGGGTTTTAATTATGATTGGAAAAGTTTAAATTTGGTATGCAATTTATGGATGTTACAACTGACAATTTATGGATGTTACAACTGACAATTTAACAAATTATATCATTATCATTATATGTAATTATGTAAGTTTAGTATTATTATTATATATATTGAATAAAATAATTTTTTTATTGGCAGATATTTATGATGATTTAATTTCAAGGAGAGTTAATTCTAGTGATGCTGAGAAGTTTGCAGAAATTTGCCCTAGCCCATGTAATGGTGTTGCATGGGGAGTCTCATATATTATGAATATAATACATTGTATTATGGGAAAAAGCTTACTACTTTGTTTCAAACTTTTTTTCAAGTCCATTTTGTAGAAATGGATCCATTAGGTTATTTTTTTTTAATTTTTTATTTATTAAATACATGTAGATGAAAAATGCATTTTCTTGGTGTACATTTGAAAATTTGTCCTCTCAATTACCTTTCCAGACAAGAATTTCCTATAGTACTGAACTTTGGTCCCATTTCTTGAAAACTTAAATTAATGATTGTTGTCTTATATGTTGCAATCTTACATATGGTTCAGCTGCCATAGAATTGCTATGAAGGTACTATAAAATGTTTATAATGGTATTTCCATATATACCCTTCTAAGAAAGTGAAATTCATATCCTTATTATGTTATCAGAGTCTACTGTTTTATTTTCGTTTATGAGTACAACAATTAATGTTTGTATACAATTCGATTTTAGTCAATGCTTTCAATGGATCTGATTCATTGTAGGCATGTTCAGGTGCTGTTTATTGTCAGCTAATGAATGTCGCTCATCCTGGAACTGTTCTGATGCATAAACTCAATTTCAATGTCAAAATTGAATACCACATGATTCAGAATTACAAGGTTCTTGGAGATGTTTTCAACAAACTGAAGATCACTAAGGTTATCTTACTATCTCCTACTTTCATTATTGCAGTCTGATTACAATCGAAGTTCCTACTCGATACATTATAGTTGTGTGTTTTTTCAATTTGAATACGACCAGATTTCAATTTTTTGTCGATTGTAATTGCTAAATTTCAAAAGCAGTGGTCATCGATTTTCAACTGTTACTATTATTTTCATGATTTTTAGCAAGTGATCGTTGATTTTGAAAGAAAATACACATCCGATTGATACAATTACTCATTCATTTAATCTTATATGTTTAATTACAGCACATCGAGGTAAACAAAGTGGTGAAAGGAAGGCGAATGGATAACCTCAAATTCATGCAGTGGATGAAACGATACTGTGATTTAGTCAGTGGAGGCGCTAATCAAAGGTAACCTCTGTCCTCTCTCCCAACCTCACATATGTAGCTGTAGTAGTGTTTAATTATTTTCTTATTTATAGTAAATATTATAGGTGAATGTAATTTTCAAATTACAATGTTATAATAACTAAAAAAAATAGGATGTTGTGATAAAACAATAAATGAGGTATCTTGCTATTCGTATGAAGACCCCTTCTGTATATGTAATATGTTTTGATTAATATTATACTATTGAAAGAAAATCAGACTTTATACAACATGGATTCGGGTTTACTGCAGCATTAGACCTGCATTGCATTTAGAACTGACACAAAGAACGTGATTGATTACATTGGAGAAGATAGGTCATTAGTGGTTTTAGATCCTTTAAAACCTCATAAAGATGGAAAAAAGTCGCTTCAATTCAACCGCGTTTTTGGTCCAACAGGCAGTCAAGGTAATAATAAAATTTAAACATTTTTCCACAATTCTAGAACCTTCTGTTGACTAATGTTTTGACTTTTATCAGAGGAGGTTTTTGCTGACAAGAGAAAAAAACTAAGCGCCAACGGCGCATGATTCCCCTCTAGTTTATATAAAAGTAAAAGATAATTTATGAATAAAAGAAAAAAATAAAGGACCGTTGTTTGTAACTTTAGTTTATGATGAAATAAAATAAAAATTGGAAGTTTTATTTATATTAGTCATAAAAACTAATAACTTAACTAATATAATAATAAAACAATATTAAAGTATTTAGGGTCAAAAACATTATTTATAATTGATATAAATATCAAGAAAAAAATATAGATATTAATAATAAACTATAATATTCATAAAATATATTTAATTTTAATTGATTTTCCTAAGGCTATGCGAGCGGACTCGACATCCCTCGGTATGAGCTAAATCAACTCGACACACATCGTGCCTCGAGTTCGGCATGCCGAACTAAACAATGTAAGTGTCGGTAATCACAACCAAAATATATGGAATCATAGTTGAAATATTATACTCATGGTTGTCAAAATCGCGATCCCGGTCGTAGGATCGTACGATCCTAGGTATAAAAACGATCCGGATCGTAAAAGGATCGTATTTGGGGTAGGATCGCAGGTAGGATCGTAGGATCGAGATCCGATCCAATCCTACCTTCCCTTGTTTTTTTTTTGCAAATGAATTTTTTTTACCACTTTATGTCTTTTACCTTTTACCAATTTACCATTTATCATTTTGTATTGTGGCTTATGACTAATATTTTGAAGTTGTTATAACTTTTGAACGAAAAAATGAATGTCTGAATATTTTTCATGATTAAAAATTATAAATTAAAATTATATTTTATTTTGTGGGATCTTAGGATCCCGATCCCGATCTTATGATCCCGATCTTGCAAACCCAAAAATGATCCTAGGTAGAATCCCGATCTTGACAACCTTGATCATACTTTTAGAGGGAATAAAAAAACACATAAAATCTTAGTGATCATGTCCATATGCGATCTCAAATCTAAAGAAATTACTGAAATCTATTTTTTTAACAGAGACTGGTTAATTTTGCCAAATTTGCTAATTATTTTTCTAAAAATAGCAAAATTTTTTTTTTTTTTTTTGTAAAATAGCCACTAATTTCGCAGATGGCTGGAACCCATCTGCTATTTATGATTTCCATGTGTATTTGACGAATGTTATAAAAACCATTTTTTGGTAATAGATACCACTAAATAGCAGATGAGATTTGTTCCATCTGCTATTTGTTCTCTTCCTCATCAACGATTTTATTTTATTATTTTATTATTTTATTTTTTAAAGTATTTATGTTTGACTAAAAATTTGATAAGGTTGACTACGAAATAAGACATTGTTGACTATGAATTCGTACAAATAGGTTGTAACATCATGTTTCCCGTCATTTCTTATTTCAGGTCGTGGGCCGGAAGTCGGTTGTGTAAAAGCTTTGGGACTTAAGGAGGTAAATATTAGACTTTGTGGAAGGAGGTAATGATGGTTGAGCGATCTAACCCTTGAATTGTGTTTTGGGCCGAAGGGTAAAAAGTGAAAAGTCATAGGTCAGGTTCTTGCATGAAATATGGATTTTTGTTCGAGAAGTTTTTAGCCCAAGTATATTTAGATAATATTGTAGAGCTCTTCAACACATTTCCGTGGATATAAAGAACATTGAAAATGGAGTTGGAACGAAGAAGTTACGACCGTTTGAAGTTATGACGATTTTTGGGTTAGTCGCGTACATTTGGGCGTACTAGGGCATCCCTAGTACGTTGGGCGTACGCAATTACTGCCCAAACCCTATTTTCTTGGTTTGAGCCTTATTTCAGCTCCTTAACTTCCCCAAACCCACTCCATTCTCATCTTCCACCTCTCCAACACCCTCTCTTGAAACACTAACCCTAGTTTGAGCCTTTTGAGCAAAAAGAAGGTGTTTTTAAGTGCTTTGGAGTGTTCTTGGTGCACCTTGGAGAAGAAGGAACTCATTGAAGAAGTGTTGGTTGCATTGGAGCTTGTAGATCCAGACCTTGTTCACCTTGATCTTTCTTCTGGAGGTATAAAGTTTGAATCTTGATGATAAAAGTGTTAGATCTAAGCTAGTTTGGGTGTTATGACCTTTTGGTCACTTTAAGTGCATAAAGTTTAGATCTTGAAAGTTTGTGACTTGGTTATGGATAAATTTGAAAACTTTATCGATCTAAACATCATATTGATTCAGATCTGAAGGTTGGAGACTTGGACTTAATGGATTAACTTGAAAAAGATGCACTTTTGGCCCGGTTGAGACTTAAAGACTAGATCTTGTTTGTTGGGACCATTCTAATGGATAAAGTTGGAAACTTTATCCATTATGGAGCTATTAGGAACCATAAAAATGTGATATCAGTCCTTCTATCCCTTCCATGCAAGAGTTGTGATGTCTTAATGGATTAATAAGTTAGGGTTTTAGCTTTTGGACCTTCCTTAGCCATGGAAAGTCATAAAGGTGGAACCTTTATGACTTAAGACAATGTTTAAGGCTAGATCTGAATTTGGGTGAAAAGTCCTTAAGGATTAAGTGCTTAATGGAAATGATGGAACCAACTCGAGTACGTTGGGTGTAATTTTCATACACTGGGCATACTAAGTCATCCCATGTACGCGAGGCGTAAGTTGAGTACGCATGGCGTACTTAACCAGCCTTGGACTTTGACTTTTGTTGACTTCGTTGACTGTTGACTTTTTGACCAAGTTTGACTTTAAGTCAAACTTGAGGGTTTTGATTGGTGATTAATATTTTATATGGTTCTGATGTTAGTGGATCCGCCGGAGCATGCAGTGTAGCAGGGAGCGTATCATAGTGTTCTTGGGTTTCTTTATTTCAGGTGAGTTTCACCTCAATGTACTCGTGGGTCAAAGGCACCAATGTCGGCTCACTAGTTTTGGTTATCTTTAGTAGAAGGATGTCATAGGGACTGTATATAGTCATGTATGATAGACTGAGGACTCTTGATCTAGGATTTTTTACCTGTTCCTTATTTGGTTGTGGTTCCAGAGTAGGATCACTTGTCCGGGTGTCTATCTCACCTCTGAATATATACGGTTATGCATTCATTGTATTGTTGGTATTTAGTATGTTGCTAATCTGTAGTGATATGTTAGATCTGTATCGTGGTATATAGGATGTTATGTTGTAGTGATCTGTTAGATCTGTATCCTGGTATATAGGATGTTGTTATGCGGTAGTGATTTGTAGATCTGTATGTCTACCTGTACTTGCTGGTTATCATCTAGTAGAGTGCCCTAGGGACTGTCTGTGGTCATGTAGGATAACATGAGAAATCTTGATCTAGGATTTCTTTCCTGTTTCTTGTTTGGTTGTGGCTCTAGAGTAGGATCATCTGTTCGGGTGGCTATCTCACCTCTGATTGCTTATGGTTACACATTTCATGGAGGTTAGCTGGTAGCAGGACTATATGTTGTGAGAGGACTAGTAGGCGGTAGTGAGCTGTATGATTGATGTTTGCATGTATTATGTGCCTACTTGATCCGTGAATGTTTATATGTCAACATATGGTAGTGGTGGGTTGAGGCAGTTTTACTTTGTGTTGTAGGCCAAGATACCCGGTGTGGGCTGGCTGTAAGCCGAAAGCACGAAGGCTCGGGAGGAGCGGTTGAGTTGAGGCGGTAGGCCAACATACCTTGGTATTCCGGCCCGGATAGATTGAAGGCCTGCAAGGCGGTCCAGTCAGGCCGAAGGCCCGAAGAGCAGCCGTTATGCATGCTTGTATGTTTATCGTATGGGGTATTTTGGGGGAAACTCACTAAGCTTTGTGCTTACCCAGTTGTTTATTGCTTCAGGTATCATCGGTCATCATGGGAAGGCGAAAACGTGACTATACACATTCATCAACAACAATGAAGATTTCACGCAAAAATATTACTCTGATTTTTATAAATGTATTTGGAATTAACAGTTTTCTCCATAACGGATTTATAATTGGGAAGATTTACCTAAATAAAATGAAAATTTTTTGTTGTGAAAATGGGACGTTACAAGGGTATATTTTATATAAAAAGAACCGAAAAATGCTTAGCTTATTAGTTATTTCTTTAGAAATCTTGTTTTGGTTCTCTGTTCTAAAATGAGTGAGTATTTGATTTGCGTTCTTCAATGAGAATAAACAGAATTGTCCATCGTTATTCAATAAGAGGTTTTGAGATAGTTTTTCCAACTTGGAAGATGGAAAAATGAGGGTTTTCCAAAAAAAAAAGGTTTTTATACTTGGCTTTTTCAATTTCATAGATAGACATAGTCAAATAGCAAATGAAAGTCCATGTGTGATTTTAAAACTCTTTTATGCACAGGTTGTGCATTAAGACTTGTACGTTACGATTTTGACTTCGATTTCATAGATGGACTTCCGATTTCATAAATGACCCTAATGACCTGCGATTTTAGTGGTTATTTTGTGTAATTTGCTAATTTTTGGTTATTTTTAGAAAAGTAACTATCAATTTTGGCTATATTTGCAAATTTCTTTATTTTTAAGGCTGAAGCTAAATCAAAAATTAACTCTCCAAATTACAGCTTATGAAGCAAAATCGCAGGCGTTAAGCTGCCATCTGATATTTTATGGGAAAATGACATATTAGCCCAACGAACTTATCATGTTTGTTTTAAAAGATCACTTATATTTTTATTTATTTATTTATATTTTTTTTTATTTTTGTTTTTTTTTTGTTTTTAACTTTAAGGTATGAAGTTAATGTTTACCAGTTAAATAAGTCATTTTACTTCTTATAATAGGTTACCACCACCAACTTTGTCCCTCCTCATTCCTTGTTCTAGCAACATACTCTGCATCTTGAACCACAATAGAACATTTTTCCCAATTAACATGTGGATTACACACCATAATATAAGCAAGAAAACGAGTCAAGATCTTCGATACCTTTCACCAAACAACTTCCTTTACACACCCACTTTATAAAAACGTAGGAACACTCTTGTTCTTCAATCTCAAGAACAATGAAAAGTCACTTAGGATTTTTATCAAACACCTTATGTGCAATCTTTTAAGCTCCACCTTAACACATGATTTCTAGTGGATGAACCTCATTTTCAATTCAAATCACCAACTTAGTTATTTCCAGAAACTAGAAACCGAAGGTTGATGAATTGTAGTCATCGATCCTCGCATGTTCCACACATAGAATAAAAGGGACTAAATCAAACGAAAAACAAGTTACAAAAACAGAGCATGAATGTTCATGCAAATCAAATGAGAAAGTGACTAGGGGATATGGTTTCTCAAAAACCCTCATTTTATCCTCTAATGTTAGAGGGTTTGTAACAGAGAAACAAGTTACAGAAACAGAGCATGAATCTTCATCAATGAGAACCGCTTCCAAAAGAATTTGCTAAATCAAAGCGGTGAGGCTAATCAGGGAAAATTAGGGCAAAATAACTCAAACTTCAGAATTGTTGATTGGAGATCAAACGAGAAATATTTTTTACCTGATTTAACCTTCGTTTTCTTCCCGTCTAGTTGTTTCCTATAATAGAGATGAGAGCTCTGCTAATTTTTTTATCGTAATCAAGAACGGAAAAAAATGAAAAAATTTAAAGATCTTTAAGAAGTAAATCAATAGGTGATCAATGGTATACCGGGGGCGGGGAAAGAAGATATCAAGTACAGGGAAGCCGTCATCTATTTCTTTCTGAAGACGAGGAGCGGTTGATGGTCAAATAATGGTTAAAGCATATATTTTACCTGTTTACTCCGTACCAAGTTAAATAAGGATCTTTTAAAACGGTAAATTTAGATTTCATTCCCTTAAAGTAAAATAAAAACTTGAGGCCCCATTTAAAACAAATATGACAAGTTTGTTTGATTAATATGATATTTTTTTTCGATATTATATTGGCTATTTTAATTATTTTCTTAATTTTTCTTTATTTCCAAAAATATGACTTAAATCTTATTATTATTATTATTATTATTATTATATATATTATGAAAATTGTTTCTTATGAATAGTGAACTTCCATAATTTTTGTCTATTTTAGTCCCTGGACTTTATGTTGTTTTTTTGGCAGAATTGGTCCCTATACTTTGGTAACTTTGGTTCTTATTTTTTAGCCATTTTGATACTTTTGGTCCTTGTAATCGATATTTTTACATTTTTTAGGAACCTTTTAATATTTAAAGTTTGGCCACAAAACTTTAGCGGTTTGACAACTTTGATCCCTTTTCTATTTAGGAACCTTTTAATATTTAAAGTTTGGCCACAAAACTTTAACGGTTTGACAACTTTGGTCCTCATTTTTTAGCAATTTTGACACTTTTGGTCCTTGTAATCGATATTTTTACATTTTTTAGGAACCTTTTAATATTTAAAGTTTGGCCACAAAACTTTAACGGTTTGACAACTTTGATCCCTTTTCTATTTAGAAACCTTTTAATATTTAAAGTTTGGCCACAAAACTTTAACGGTTTGACAACTTTGGTCTTCATTTTTTAGTCATTTTGACACTTTTGGTCCTTATAATCGACATTTTTACATTTTTTAGGAACCTTTTAATATTTAAAGTTTGGCCACAAAACTTTAACGGTTTGACAACTTTGATCCATTTTCTATTTAGGAACCTTTTAATATTTAAAGTTTGGCCACAAAACTTTAACGGTTCGACAACTTTGATCACTTTTCTAAAAACTTGCTAATTCCTACCGCTTTAATTCTTTAACCATTTTGATACTTCTGGTCCTTGCAGTCAAAACTTTTACATTTTTTCATAAAAACATGAACAAAACGGTCCTGGGCAAAGCCCGGGCTTGTCATCCCTGCACTTTCTACGTCTGTTATATTTATCGATTCGGAAACAATATTGAAAGCTTCTGGCCCCGCGTAGCGGGGTAACCTTTCTAGTTATTATTATTTTTTTTTTAATAACAAAACAAAACAATTCCCTACGATGAACCGAACTAAACCGAACCATTCCCAACCATGCTCCCATTCTAGATCTATGTGTCTTAACAAGCCCCAGCCATCTGAATAATAAACGCAAGCCTCACTACCGTAGCCCTCTGTCCATCTCTTACTCTCTGCGCGTCGCAGCCTCCGGCCTCCGCCCCTGCTGCCGTCGTGCTCCGCCACTCCTCCCTGCTCCACCGCGGCCAGTCCCCTGCCACTGCAACGGTAAGCTAATTTAGATTTTGATGTAATTTTGCGATTTTTCGTATAAATGTGTTAATCTATTATCATTTGTTAATTTTAACTGCCGATAAATAGTTATTTATTAGTTATTTGTTAATTATTAGGGTTTGTTAATTGGGCGAATTTTAGATTTAGGGTTTGTTGGTAGCTTTTCTACTTTAGGGTTTGTTGAAAATCAAAATTCTATTCTTAACTGGGAAAATTTAAAATTAACCGAGGTTTGTTGAAAAAATCAAATTTTTGGAAGTAAGCGTCTATTAGAATTGATGCATATGCGATCACATCCTTTATAGCTGCTAAACTATTATTGTACATGTAAATGGAATTCTTTCCTTTATCATCACAATCCAATTTGGGATCTTAACAATAAGTTTTCAGGCGAAAAAGACAAATTTGTATATTTTTCTCTTGATCTCTTCATAGTCCTCATTCTTTGTAATCCCTGTAACAAAGACAAGTTTGTAATCTTTTCTCAAATCTCATAATATGCTTCTACGTTTTGTTAATGCTACTGATATTAATATTATACACTGATTTATTCTTTGTTACAGTGTTATTCCCTATCAACCATGATTTACACAGCTATCGATACATTCTATCTAACCGATGAACTGCTTGAGAACACACCTTCTAGAAAAGATGGAATCGATGAAGCCACTGAAACAACACTTAGAATATATGGATGTGATCTTATCCAAGAAAGTGGCATTTTACTCAAAGTGTATCCTTTTTTGTATTTCTTATGGAATGCTATTCAAAATTTATGCTTCTTGATGACTTACTTTATAATCTGATCATATTTAAAGATCCTTAACTACATATATCACACAGACCTCAACAAGTAATGGCCACAGGTCAAGTTCTATTTCATCGCTTCTACTGCAAGAAATCTTTTGTTCGTTTCAATGTGAAGAGAATTGCTGCTAGTTGTGTTTGGCTTGCTTCAAAACTTGAGGAAAACCCTAGAAGAGCAAGACATGTCCTCAATGTTTTTCATAGAATGGAATGTAGAAGAGAGAATCTACCTATAGAACATTTAGATGCATTCTCAAAGGTATTTAATTTTATTTATGTTAAGCACTTTTTGTATATGCTTATGTTGTTGACATATCACACGTGTACAGAAATATACAGAATTGAAGATGGATTTGATTAGATCTGAAAGACATTTATTAAAAGAAATGGCTTTCATTTGTCATGTGGAACATCCTCATAAATTCATCTCAAATTACCTTGCTACCCTTGAAACACCCCCTGAGTTGACACAAGAAGCTTGGAATCTTGCAAATGATAGGTATGAAAATTTGTATCCCTTAACTCTTAACTCTTAACTACTACATTTACTTATTCTTTAAGGACTAAGTTTTACTTTTTTTGTGACTTGTGAATAATAATAATAGCTTGAGGACAACTTTATGTGTTCGATTCAAGAGTGCAGTGGTGGCATGTGGTGTTGTATATGCTGCTGCTAGAAGATTTCATGTCCCTCTTCCTGAAAATCCTCCATGGTGGAAAGCTTTTGATGCTGATAAATCAGGTATAGATGAAGTTTGTAGAGTTTTAGCTCATTTATACACTCTACCAAAAGCACAATATATACCTGTATGCAAAGAAGGAGGCTCATTCACAGTGTCTAATCGCTCATGGGACTCCCCCTCCCAACCCCTTCCCAAGGTCCACTCTCAAAACTACGTAGTTTTGATCCTTATGTTGTTTTTTTTTTCTAAGTTTTGTTTTGATTTATGGTTTTCATGGTGTAGGAACCACAGATGATTGATGATGCAAATGTAAACAAGGTGTCTGTGGTGTCGGTTTCGGTGTCTCCGGCATGTATGATTCCGGAGTCGAAAGCCGGAATTGGAAAGGTGAAAGATTCAATAAAGAGTGATGATGTTGATGAGAAAGTTGAGAATCAGAGTGGTGTTCCGATTCCGGTTGAGGGAGAATCTGTTTCCAAAAGCAAAGAAAGGGAAAGGGAAAGGGAAAGGGAAAGGGAGAGATATAAAAGAGGGAGGGATTCGGAAAGGGAAAGGGAAAGGGATGATAGAGAAAAAGTCAAAGATAGGAGTCATCGGTCAAAGGATAGAGGAGGAAAAGATTCAGGTTAGTTTGCTTATTCCATTCCTATGTTCATTCCATTCCATTCCTTCCATTCAAACTTTTTTTTTTTTTTTTTTTTATCTATGTTTTTAATTCCACTCTTTTTCAACACACAGGACATGGTGAAAAACCGAAACATCATTCTTCACGAGGTACTGAAAAAAAAAATTTCTCTTAAACATTCTTTTTAATATTATGTGCCAAAATTACAATTATGCCCTTTTGTTGGTTCAGATCGGGACTATCATGGCTCGACATATTCCTCAAGGGAGAAGGATCGACACAGGCATCATTCGTATGGTTAATATTTGCTAAAAAGTTGTCCATGTTCATATCTCTTATATCATGTTTGTGAGGTTTATTGACATTTTTACCCTTAATAGTTTATTTTAAAACATCTTTCATTTTTTTTTGACATGTAGGGATGTTGTAATTTTGCTATCTCAGAAGTTTCATTCTATTTTTATAAAAGGACTATTGTGTTTAATTATAATGTTCTTGACAAATCATGATTTAAAAAGTGAAAAAAGATATACAATTATCTTCATAGCTTAAAATATTGTGATGAATTATATAAGGAATCATAGTCAACGATCATGAATAGGATTGTCACTAATTTAGTTTAGTATAATAAAAAGATCAAGAGTTGAAGTGGAAGTGGAAGTGAACAAATTCTTATGATTGCCATGAAATGATTATTAGATAACGTTAAGATTTCAATGATTATTAGATAACGTTAAGATTTGCCATAAAGGATCATATAATTAATTATTTATTATTTACTAGTATCAGTTTACTGATGCTACTCAAGTATGTGTGCATGAGTTTTGAGATAACTTGTTGATTTCATATATATATATATATATATATATATATATATATATATATATATATATATATATATATATATATTAAAGAACTCTATGAAGTTAATGCTGTCGTTTATTATAGTTAATGGCTTAATGACTATAATTATCATTGGTTGAACATTTGAAAACAATAACTTAATACTTATTTTTTGAAGGGTCGAGTTAATATTAAGCTAGCAAGAAGTTTGAAAACGAAAATAATTACAAACAGGAATTAGTTAACTTAATTGACTTCAAATTTGGACTCCTATTAAAAAGCCAAAAATAAGATTGAGACATGATTCTATCAAACATCGTGTGGTTCGTGGGTTTGTAGACCCGAAAAACATATTGGACTGAAAATTTAATATGGACCAAATTATTTGTCAACACAAATTCCCACCGACGCCCTATAACTCTATAAGCCTCTAAGTCAAGTCGGCTAAATAACAAGAAAAAAAAAAGTGTCTCGTAGTCTCCAAGTGTGAATCATATTAAGGTAATTAAGTGACTCCACACCAACATCTTTCTTATCCAAATTCGCTATGACTATGATAGTCGGGGAGCCGTTGGAGCAGCCACTAGAGATTTCCTTACTATGAGATTCAGCTGTCAGTTTTGCGATGTGAGTTTCCTGTTAGGAATGGGTCTAAGGCACCAATGTCGGCCCGTTTATGTATGTTAGCAGGTGCCGGACTACAGTCCGATGTCGGGCAGTGTCCGATGTAGGTTTATGTGTTTATATGTTCCGGACTTCGGTCCGATGCCGGGGAAAGCCCGATGAATGTTTATATGCTATGTTATATGTTTCCGGATTTCGATCCGATGTCGGGCGGGGCCCGAGGAATGTTTATATGTTTATGTTATGTGCTTATTATGTGTATTGTTGATATGTATACCGAGCTTTGCTCGATGCCGGGCGGGGCCCGATGCCGGCGAGGCCGATGCCGGGCGGAGCCCGATGTAGCGGGCAAGGCCAATGTATGTTATTATGTGAATATGTGTATGGTATGTGGTAGTTTAGGGAGACTCATTAAGCTTCATGCTTACAGTTTTCAGTTTTGGTTTCAGGTACTTCCGGTAGCAAGGGGAAGAGCTCGGGATGATTGCAGTGCATATACTATATGTTCAGTCTGAGATATTTACATTTTGATATATTTGACAGATGTTATGATATTTTGAGATACACTACTTATGATTTTTATACGATGTTTGATAACTTTGAATTTTTTAATGATTTAAAATGAAATTTTTAGACTGTGTTTTTGGGATGTTTCAGTTCATCTTAAAACAAAGCCCTAAGAGGTGCTGCTGAAAAATCAAGTTTTACATCTTCAAAAAACAAGAAATATACTAGTCTCATGTTGTATTCACTACAGAATGAGTTCTAGTACCAAACAAGGGTTTTTTTTTTTTTTTTTTTTTTTTTTTTTTTTTTTTTTAATATTTATTTATTTATTTATTTATTTGGCTGAAAACGAAACTCGTCACAAGGTGGATTTTTGTTGAATGTGATCCAAAATTCCTCCCACCTTTTGAGAGCTTATTGTTATTTTTTTCATAGTTATTAGATATAGGCAACCTTTCCTATTAAAAGGTTATTAAAAGAAATGACGGATCTAAGAAATTTTTTTATTGGGGGCATTGCATCGGTCAAATAGTAAAAATAATCAGGTTGGTTCAAATTCGTTGGATCACACCTCGACGATTTATATTTTATCATAAATGATAGGTTTGATCACTTAGCAAATTGACATGAACATTTATTGTAATCGATAAAGCCTCAAAAATATAAATTTGACAAATCTTTTAAACAAAATTATTGAAGACTAAACTTTATTTTTAGAAATGTAAATGTTCAATAAACTGATTAATTTTAAGGCCAATATAAACTTCTATACTGAACGTAATAATAAGAATAATAATCAATTGCTTTATTTTTCTAGTTCCTAGTGGGCTTGATATAAATGACAATATAGATTTTGGCCCAAGTGTAACACATTCAATAGGAGCAACCCTACAAGTGTACGACTAGTGCTTCTTCTCTAGCTATTCTGCCATTAATACCGGCAGAGCTTCTATTTAACTTAAATTAGGCATTACCAAGCAAAATTTATCCAAAGCATTGGGGGCCTCGTGAATAAATTAATTCTTCGCCTAGTCTTAGCACCCGCACAGTAGAGGGGAATAAGCATTTCCTTTCCGACAAAACTAAGCGTCTTGCCGTTGGGTAAAGGCAATAGGAGGAGGTTTGGAACCCCAAAACAAGTCTAGGCTTAAGAACGGTGATGCTAGTTCAGTTGTTGAAAAAAAATGTCCCGATGAACCTTGGGAGCATCCCGGGCAAGATCTATGGCTTCGGCTGCGGCTAAGCGAACTACCTATTATATATATTCAAGGAAGGTTCGGCAGGTAATACTAGGAAACTAAGAACAAATCCTCGCTTCGTAGCCAGCCGGTCTAGCTTTTGAATATGAGTGAAAAGTAGCTTCTGCTTCGCTATTAAATCTCTCACTTTCTAAGAAGATCAAGGGCAAGCCCTCCTACGATTACGATGACTGTAACGAAGTCTCGAAAGATAGAGAACCTCCTACGGTCGCATGTATAGGACCAACTGGGGCATTGGTCATGGTCTAAAAGATATTTTAGAAGCTCATAAAGGTCCATTTACGGGCCAGGGCCATAAAGGCCTATATGAGATCCTAACAACGTCATGGTATGCTCAATTATCTCTTAACCTAGCTATGTTAGGCTCTTTAACTATTGTTGTAGCTCACCATATATATGCCATGCCCCCTTATCCATATCTAGCTACTGACTATGGTACACAACTGTCGTTGTTCACACATCATATGTGGATTGGTGGATTTCCTTTCTTTGAAAACCAAGGATGAAGCTAGAATGTGGAGTACGGACTTATCATGCTTCCCAATTCCACTAGCATAAAAGAGTTTATTCAACTCCTGAGAGATTCTAGAGTTCCTGAGCTACCCCAATTTGATGAGAATGAGGGAAAAAGTCTATTCCAGTCTAATGTTATAATAAAAAAAAGTTGCTCTAGAAAAATCTATTAGGGGCATGTATCCCCACTCCTAACACGTTGGATCTGCCTCTGGTTAAAAGCCATGGTGTGCTTTAGAATTTCACTTAGATGCCTATAAATATAGCCTTAGTTTATGGTTTTTATTATTACAAACCCTCACCCCTCCCTCCAAATTTATATATCCTATAACCTTTTATAAAATTAAGGAATCAGAATAACAACAAATACAAACTTGCACAACAAGAATTCAAAGTATTAGGGACGTCGCTTTTTGCGACGACAAGACCTTTAGCGACCACAAGACCTTTACAATAATGCTTATTCAGTTATAACATATTTTTTAATGTTTATTCAAGTATAACATATTTTGTAATGTTAAACAAAATTTGAATAGACTTGAAGCATTTCATCGTGGGCATGTGAACAAAAAATAAGAATTTGTTGATCCTTTGGTTGAAGACCAATATGTAAATTATTATTACTTAAAAATGAAGTAAATTGTTTTTTTTTGTTAGTTTTAACGTATATTGACAATCTTTGTGAAATACAGAATGCCTTAGTTGCTGAGATTGTTGTACAGACTCATCACATAGCCGACTCCGGTGGTGATCCAGACACCATTGATTGGATCACAATATTTGAGAAGGTGTTGGGTACTCGAAGGGGGCATGTGAGAAGCATTGGGCCTAAACCTTCTTCAAGAGCGGGTACAAGTGCTCAATCCCAATGGCAGTCACAGTCACAAGCACCACAACCAACACATGCACTTGTTAAATTCTTAAAGAATTTGGTAGCTTTGCTATATTATTAAAAACTTGATGCATTTATAGTAATTTTTGGTAGTTTGGTAGTTTGTTAAATTGTTAAAGACTTAATCGATTTGGTGGTTTAATAGTTTTTTAAATTGTTACCGACTTAATTCATTTGGTGGTTTGATGGTTTGATAGTTTGTTAAATTGTTAATGACTTAATGTGCTTGTGACTTAATTGTAGGATGTTGATGTGAATGCTTTTCTTCAAAACCCGGCGTTTGTGACGGCCATTGGAGACATTATCCGTTCGTTTAATATCAAGTCAACAACGAGGAAAACAACGATGAAGAAGATGCAGACACATAATATTTCTTGTTTTATGTTATGAATGATGTTATTTTGGATTTATTAGATAGTTTATGGATGATATATTAGATGTTTATTTTGGATTTATTAGATAGTTTATGGATGATATATTAGATTTTTATTTGAGATTTATTAGATAGTTTATGTAATGTGGTATATTTGATGTTTTATGTAATGTGGTATGTATTTTTATTAAAGCTGCATTTTATAATATATACAAACTAATATCATAAACAAATTGTTTTTAAAAAAACCATTAGCAGCGACATCTTTAGGGACGACATTGATCAGTTGCGACGAAAATTGATTCCGGGAAGAGTAGCTAGAAAAACTCCGACCGGTGGCCGGAATGGTAATAGAGACGACGACAATAGCGACGACAATGACCATTTAGCGACGACGAGTATTAGAAATGACGCTATTTGCGACGACAAAGGAGTATTAGCTACGAGGTAATAGCGTTTTAGCGACGACAAGTGGCATCATTTGCGACGTTTTTTGTCGTCGCTAAAGGGTACGTTTTTTGTTGTGTTGGATGGATTCAAAGATCGTGTTTATCAAACACTTTTCCAAATTTGTAGTTCGTCCCCTTTGCCTGGGGTATACGAATTCAGAAGTGAGATAATCCAAGAATGAACCAATCAGAATTACAGGTCTAGTTCAGATTGTGAAACACAGAATATAGTGTTAATGTGTTTTTGAGAGATAGAACAAATCTTAAAACCAGATATTGAGATTATATACTTTGTAACCCGTTTTCTCGAACATGAATAATGTTCTTATACCAAAGGGCAAAATGGTTATGACAGTTGCCTCTAGATTTAGCGCAAAAAACGGTAGTTATTGGACATAACCGACACCTACATCATCATGATGTCATCGGTGGGTTGTTAGACCAAAGTGAAAAGTGGTTCTTATACAAAACCACCACCAGGGGCTCTGCCCCTTGGACCCCGCTAGGGGCGCTGCTCCTAGACCCCACCAAGGGACTACAAACCCTTGGAACCCTGCATCTAGGGGCGCTACCCCTGGACTCCCGTATTCCCGAGTTCACATTTATTACTCCGAGTGTACACCTCACATCTTTTAGCTCAGTTAGTAAATGAAGCTCGACCTATCTAATTACACCAAAATATGTTGAGAAACACCAAAATCACCAACATATAGTCTCTTTTGTAGATTTTGTCAATAATACAAAGTCAGAGTTGTCAAGTGCCTTGTGGTTTTTCCCGCAAGGATTTCCACTCAAACTTCTATGTTCTGTTTATTTTCTTCAGGATCCATCATAATTAGAACATTTATAAACACTATAATTTTTTAGATGCCAACAAATAGTTTATAATTTATAGTTAACAGATAGGATAAAGACCAAGTCACAAGATATCAACTTTTGTATGTGTGAAGTTGACTACTCCTAAGTCAAAGAATGAACGCAACACAAAATCAAAATATACTACAAATGGATTTAATTTGTGTTTCTATTGACTTCCTGAATCAAACAAATAGATTTGCTCACATCCAAATATCATTAATTATCAAAAAAGTTGAAATATGATAATACTTTTTGATGCATATTGACAAATTCTTTTTGCAAGAAATAATCCTGTTATATACTTACATAGTTGAACTCTCGTGACCGACACACCTCTAAATGTTGTAGATTCATTTTACTGGATCGATAACGAAACTCAAAGATATAAATGCAATAATTTATAATTTATGATCACAAGAAAGTTTTAACAGTCAAAATAATTGCATGGCCTGTTCAAAGCATGGTTTGATATGGTTTATAAAGTTCTTAAATAGAGATTTTCCATTATGCCTTTTTCTAATTTCATGAAATTAGTTGAGTAAAAGGCGAGATTACATCATAGGGGATTACAAGTAACAGTAAAAGCTATGAATGAGTTGGTTAAATCTGCCATTTTAATGGCAGACACACACCATGCATCATGGATACTCTAAATAAACACCAAGATTCCACAAACAATATATTATTATTATTTTATTTTATTTTACAAAACTATTTATCTTCTGATAAGATACTTATAACTGTAGTTCGACAGATAGAAACTTTATCTTTAATTTATAAATATCAAAAATGAGTTATATGAGAGATAGTGTAGTAGACCGGTTATTTGTGTTAAAATATTTTATTGTTTTTTTGGTATATTCTGATAAGTATATAGTTATTTTTGTTAAAACTACATAAAAAACAAATTATTATTTGAAAATTAAACTAATATTGGAAAAAGCAGGAGCAATGATATGCAACTGCTACATGTAATTATCTCAGGTGAAGAGCCCCACATCCACCAAAAACTCTACTACCCAATCCACACCTTTCACATTATAATATGAAAAGTGAAAGTAGAATTTTCCACGACAAAAATGATTAAGCTCACATAAATATTTTTTTTCTTTTTTCGATGATACACAAAACCATGAAACTTTTATGATTTGCTATTTAATAACGTATAAAATATAAGATTCGAATGTATATCTTGTCTTCAACAAGTCTTAAAAGTAACCGGTTAGTAACCACAATCACAAAATTAACGTAAATCAAATGTATATTCATTGATAGAAACAGTTTCCCGTCCTTCTGGAGGACCAAAAACCTCGCCAAAAATCACATTTCTTATGTGAATAGAGAGTAAACAACACCAAAAGTGATAAAAAAAAAAACAAAAAAACAAACAAACATGTAGAATATAAATAAGTCAGTCTCCTGTCGTTTGAGATGACTTAAATTCTGAGTTCATATTACATTACCAAAAATATCAATTTCAGCCTAACCGAAAGAACGATGGAATAGTGGAAAAGGAAAGCCCTCAATCAAACATAGAGGCTCAAAGGGTTTGATTGTGCCCTCTCTCTCTCTCTTTTTTTTTTTTTTTTTTTTTTTTGCTAATTATGGTTAGGATACTTAAGTTCTAAGAAAAAAGTAATTAATGTACACCAATTCTAAAGGGTAAAATGCAAAGGGTCCATCCTGGCCATCCCTTTCATCCTAATAAACTTTTTCCAAACCTAAAGAAAAGGATGGAAATTGACATATTAATTTGTAGCTAGATTATGGTTGGAGGGAAAATCAAAATACTAGTCACTAAATGTTGGTCAATGGTGGTGATTGGTGAACAACCTTTTGGTTCTTGGTGTTGGTGGTGAGAGTAGAATCATAATCATAGTCATGTGCTTCACAACTTTGCTCAAAACCCCTTTTCCTAGTCATGATCATACATCCACCACCATTGTTGTTGTTGCCACCACCAATGATTATGCTAACACACGAGTCTTGGTGGAGGAGCATCCGAGGTGTGGTGGTGGAAGTTGATGGGATAGTCACGGGTGGGATCTCTATTGAGTTGAGTTGCGGTGGTGGGTGTTGCCACTGTGGAAGCGGGCCGGCAAGAAGCAGGGTTTGGAGTAACGGGCCCGCTTCCACCACTGCCTGCAAGAACTTGCCATTCTCTGGCAACCCTTTTTTCAATACTACATTATCCACGATTTCTGGCGGTGTTTGTTGCGGTGGCAATGAAATCCTTTCCATTCCTTGAGCTCCAACAAAGTTCTCATCAGAACCCGAAGATGAATCCACACCCAAATTATGATCGTCTTCTTGGTAACTCGTAGGAGTGGTTCTAACCAAAGAAGTAGTAGCATTAGCTTCAAATTCTTGAATCTTTTGTTGGAGTATTAGGTTTTCCAACACTAAGCCTTGACACTTCAATTCGGCTTCATCTCTTTCTTTGATAGTCTTTGACAAAAGACATTTGAAATGCAAAACTTCATCTCCTTTTCTTGCAATCTCTTCATGAGCACATGCAATTGTTGTTTCTAACTCCAACGTGTACAGCAAAGTGTGTTTCAACTCTTGGATTCCTTGCGCCTACTCAACAATTAAAACAACTTAAAGGAATTAACACCAAACACAAAAGAACAATAGAAATATCGAGATTTTGGTTAACTATTTTAATCAGAATCAAGAAACCATTCACGAAGTGGTCTTTACCTCTTCTTGGTAGTAACAATCCCAATTAAAAGGACTACATTCATCCTCCATCTTGATAAGAGCACAAAGCGAGAGTGCGTGTGTGTGTTTTGCGTTTTGCAAGTTGAGGGAAGGGTTTTAAGTAGAAGTTGTTGGTTTCCTTTTGCAACTTTTGCTTTTGCTTTTGGGCCTTTTTATTTTGGGGTTTTCTTCACAATGGCGACAAGAGGTTGTGAGGTACCAAGGAAATACAAAGGCCAAAAACAAGTAGAATAGAAAGTTCAAGCATAGTGCTTTTTTAATCCCGTTGAAAAATCTTTTATAAGACCCCAAAAGAATATATATATATATATATATATATATATATATATATATATATATATTATATATATATATATATATATATATGAGGTTAAATAGAGAACCATAATTAACAAAGAAACCAATGAACCAATCGTGAGCGTCGGAAATCATAACGATCAACGGCTAAGGAAATAGATGTATATTTTTACATTGGACGCACACACACCGGATTATACCAAAAAATCCACCATTTACAAAAAAAACTCATCACTTTTTTTCGTTTAAAATTTTTTTTAGGCCATGTTTTTTATCGAAAAAAAACCGAATATACCGTTGTTCACGATTTTTCGTCCTCTTTCCACAGAGATCCATGATGATATATAAAAAACGAACTTTTTTTTTCGAAAAAAACCCACTTCATTTTCTTTGATAAAAAAAGTTAAGGTCTATTTTTTTATAGAAAAAAAATTAATAAATATATCAAAATTCATATTTTTTGTACTCATATTCATGTTAAAAAAAACGATATTTCCGTTCAGATTCACATTGTGAACCTATTCAGATTCACATTGTGAACCTATTCAGATTCATATTGTAAACCTGTTCAGATTCACATTGTCAACCTCCTCAGATTCACAGTGTGTATAATAATAAGTCAGATTCACAGTGTGAATCTGAACTGATCGGAGCTTTTTCACATTGTGAATGTTAAAATTTGTAATATTTACAGTTTAGATTCACAGTGTGAATCTATACTGATTGAGGTTTTTTTTTGTGAACCTTCTCAGATTCACAGTATGCATAATAGTAATTCAGATTCACATTGTGAATCTGAACTGTTCGAGATTTTTCATATTGTGAATGTTAAAAATTGAAATATTTACAGTTTAGATTCACAGTGTGAATCTACACTGTTCGAGTTTTTTTTTTTTAAATCGGTGTTGATGTTTATTAATAGAGTACAAAAAATTAATATTTTTGGTATAATTAACTTTTTTTTTGATAAAAATAAACTTAAATATTGAAAAAACTAAGAAAATTAAGTGGGTTTTTTTCGAAAAAAAAAGTTCGTTTTTTATATATCATCATGGATCTCTATGGAAAGAGGACGAAAAATCGTGAACAATAGTATATTCGGTTTTTTTTTCGATAAAAAACTTGGCCTAAAAAAAATTTTAAATGAAAAAAAGGAAATGGATTTTGTTATAATCCGGTACATGTGCGTCAATTATAAAAGTTTACAACCCTTCCTTTTGCTGTTGATCGCTTTAAATTCTGACGCTTTGGATTGGTTCCTTGGTTCCTTGATTAATAATGGTTCTCTATTGAACTTTCCATATATATATATATATATATATATATATATATATATATATATATATATATATATATATATATCTATAGAGAGAGAGAGAGAGAGAGAAGAGAAGAGAGAGAGGAGAGAGAGAGTTCACTGAGAAAAAAAAGTTAAGAATGAGGCAATCATTCTCAGCCACACATTTTATTTTGCCGCAAAGCCTTTAGGCGTGCCGGCGGAAATGGATAACGAATAAACATGTTTTCCAACCAAACATGTTTCCTTAAACTATGCTAATCATTACCTTAATATTCACAAAAAACATACTTTTTTTGTTTTTTTATTTATTTTTAGAAAGCCATTTTTATCGAAAAATTA